GTCCTTTGGCCATATGGATACTGTAATTAACCTCAAACCCAATTGAGAGAATTGCTTTAAATGAAGACATCAGTTCTGATGAGGTTTATTCATAGGAAAACCTGAAAAACAGTCTAAGGCTTCAGAAGCCATGTTTGTCCTTGTTTCCCTCTGTTGAAATAAGAATCCACACTTTGAAGGTTTGACTATTTTAGCAAATTAATTGCCATTTAATTATCATGTAGTAAGACATCTGTCTATTTTTCCAGAAACTGCTACCTTGTTTGGGCAAATTGGTTTAAAGATTAATTTGCCTATTGTAGAAGTAGACTGCAGTTGAAAAAATTCATGTCTTATGTTCAGTCTGAATGCCCCATAGATATTGCCTTCTGTGACATTATTGCAGAGGTCATGGGACCCTACGTGAAACACAGCTCATGCTCATCCTGAAGTGCCAATAAAAGGCTATAGGAAACAATTTGTCATTCCTATAACTCCATGCCTTATCACGTTAATGATAGCATGAGATGTAATACACTAGAAAAAACTCCTATTTTTTTCTTAGAGGTTTTATTCAAGTCAGTATAATTGAGATAATGTGCCCAAATTGTGCACCCAGAAAATGAGCTCATCTATTGTGGACCTTGCCATGTTGAAATTCAGAATTACAAAGCTATTAGAGTCTGAGTGGCATGGTTGCCAGAGAATGACTCCTCAGAGAAACCGAGACAGTCCGTGTCAGAGGAACTGGTCCTTGGCTGCTAATCCACTGTGTCTATAAACATTCAGCCCTGATCCCTGACATTATGCTGCCTGAATCACATGCTCTGGGGAAGATGACTTCAGGTTTAAGTCAAAAGGTCAGAAGAGGACAGGAAAGCAGGACAGCCTGGTCTAGGCACATGTCCTGTTTGGTCAGATGGCATAGAAACAGATTAAAGAGAACAGATCATGTCGAATCTCATACTATTCTGGCAGATAAAGACTCCTTCTTGAGCAGAGCTCGGGAATTCAGGAGAAGAGAGTGATGATAATGCCTGCAGAGAAACAAAATGTCCCTGATAGAGCAATTTTGAATCCAGTTGTAGCCAAGAAAGAGCCTTACACTTCAGGATTAAAACATATTTAGAATTCTGGGGCCAGCACAGTGGTGTAGAGGGTAAAGCCACTGCCTGCAGTGCCAGCATCCCGTATGAATGTGGGTTCAAGTCCTGGCTGCTCCACTTCCGATTCCGCTCTCTGCTATGGCCTGAGAAAGCCATAGAGGATGACCCAAGTCCTTGGGCCCCTGCACCTGCAGGGGAGACCCGGAAGAAGCTCCTGGCTCTTGGCTTCTGATCCACTAAGATCCAGCTGTTGCAGACATTTGGGGAGTGAACCAGTGGATGGAAGACTCTCTCTCCCTCCCTCTTTCTCTGCCTCTGCTTCTCTGTAACTCTGCTTTTTAAATAAAACAAATAAATCTTTAAAAGCAAATATTCAGGAAGATTTGGTTTATAGAAAAAGTTATATTAAAACCTTAAGTTTCTGCTCTGCTTATCCCAGGTTATCATCTTAAGATACTAGGCTAGTTAGACTCCTAGAGTTTAATATTTTCTATGGAGAGGAGCAATTGTTCTTTGTATGAGAGTCAATATTTATTTCTCAGTAATTTATTTTCTTGAGCTGTTACAAAACACTTAATATATTATGCTACCTTTATATTTTCAAAAACTCTTGGGAAATGCATCCAATCCAGGTTAATAACTCACAGCAGTGTTTTTGGATGATGCCTGGATTCACTGCGTATATAAACTTAAGCCAACGCTCTAAATTATATTAGAGATTGTCAGGTGATGTCCTCTCATCTGGCACACATGCTCTTCCATCTCTTGCCAGAGCAGAGGGCAAGTTCTTGGTAAACGTGCAAGGCTCATATGACAAATGACAGTTGATTTGGCCCCTACTGAGACTCTAAGTCCCATGAAACCAAAATAGGAATCACATCAGCTTTGTGAAAGTCCCAAGAATTATTCCTGCCTCTAAAACAAGGAAAATGAATTGCAAAGCCTCAATGAAAACAAAAATCCATAAATGTTACCCTACCTGCATAATCTTATATTCTAACTCTAGTATCAGTACCAAGGTAGGTTTGTGGAAGGGAGCTCTGGTTTCTCCAGGATCATTCTTAAAAAGGTCTGAAATATGTTTCAGCTTCCATCGGTAAATTCCTATCAATTCACATAGGGTATATTTAACCTTTTAGAAGCTATTTCTGTGATGCCGGTATGCTCAGCCCCCCAGTTTATGACTTCAATGGAAAACATTCTTCATTTTATACCAAAAATATCACAGCAGTCTCTCCTACCAGCTGATTTCCTGGAAACTCACTTCTCTCAAGGTGCTCTCAACTATATCTGAAACTTTACCGGAAATACCTTAGATAAGGGATTTCAAAAACAACTGTGGTATAATGAGATTAAAAGATGAGTTTATTTAGGTGCAAAAATATTTTGAAACCCATGCATAGTTCTTTCATAATACATATTTCCATGGACTTGTTGAAAGCCCCTCACAGATACTCTAAAACAAAATTCCCTTATACTTTACCTCTGGCCTTCTCAAGTCAATTCTTTCACTTTTGGGAAAGCTCTGCTCAATTTTTCTCACTCCTGGTCACTATTGCCCCACTTCAGCGTCAGGAAAGGGGAACTTTTTCCTTTGGTCTCAGTACTGGTTTTCACTGTTTGGTGATGCTGGAATGCAGAGGCAATGCCCTTTGTGTCTAGGAATTCCTTATTTGGAGTTCCTTACCAGAATATGCTAGTTATCTCCTTCTCTGAACTGCTCTTGTCCCTGCTGCCATTCCTGATTAAGACAGAAGTTTGGTGTTGCTGCTACCCTGGAAACAACTAACGACCAGCATGAATCTGCTTCAGGGTGCCCTGTCCCTCAAAGCCCAGTACCAAAAAGTTTCCTAGTCCACACAGAGAACAAAGTCCCTCCTTCTAAAGTCAAGTTTTAGTTTATTTACCATGTGGAGATTATCCACTTCCCAGTATGAATGATAGTGGGAGTATCCACTCTCTAATAATAAAAAGAAAGCCTACTACTAATATTTAGTCCAGGTAGGTGCTTCTTGCCTCCAACAACACAATCTTAAAATGGTGTATATTGGTCTATTTCACAGAATCAAGGTTAGCTTCTTTTAATCCATGGTCACTTTTTACATCTGTGTTTTCGAACTTTACCATTTGTTATTTACAAGGCTCTCTAGATCCATTAGTGTGTCAGTCAGGGTTCAGCACTGGCCTGGAAATAGCTGGCAGACTCCATGTAGATAATTGGGAGAGAAGTTAGTAAAGTTATTATTTACAAAGCATGGGCATGGGTCAAAAAATAGTAAGAAATAGTGTCTGAGGTTAGCAACAACCAGGAGCTATTTCTGCCCGCAAGTCTAAAATGGGAAGGGGCAGAAAGAATGTGGAGAGTGCTGCCTGAGAAGAGTACTGGCCTTCAGGAGATAGAAGCAGCCAATGCTAGGTGCCCTGGTAGGGAGGGAGCTGGGGATTAAGCACCCTAATCTCACTCTCCTCCACCTCCCGTCTCCTGCCACAGTGGCATTCACTTCTCCCCACTCACCAAACCCAACCTGAAACTAGGGGCCAAGGGATTTGCTGATGCAGTCCGTGAGGTCAGTCTCCTGGGGCCAGAGCAGGGAAGCAAAAGACCCAAAGTAGATCTGGAGGTGCAAATAAAGATATCTAGAAAAATTACCTCTTGAGAAGCACAACATTTTAAATTTGCTCTTTAAATCTATTTCTTAAAGCTTTCAAGGAATTCTTCAGCATTAGTGTAAAAGTATACCAGAAGATTCAACTCATCTGTACCTTTTGATCTTAAAAGTTTTAACGAAGTGCCCTCCAAGTCATGAGTTTCCCAAAATCAAGAGCCCTAATCATTTTTGTCAACAGCAACTCTCAGCCTTGGCCCTTTTTATTCAAAACCCTTGTTGCATTTATTTAAATTTATTAAGTTTTTAAAAATTTATTTGAAAGACAGGGGGAGAGAGAGAAAGAAAGAGAAAAACTTTCCATCCACTGGTTCACTCTCCAAATGCCCGCAATAGCCAGGGCTGGGCCAGGCCAAAGCAAGGAGCCTGAAGCTTCATCTGGTCTCCAACATGAGTGCCAGGGATTCAAGAACTTGAGCCATATCGTGCTGCCTCCCAGGATGCAGATGAGCAGAAAGCTGAAATTGGAAGCAATATGTGCTGCAGGTGTCCCAAGTGGTGCTGTAACCACTGTCCCAAATGTCTGGCCCAGATTCCTCTAACATTTTGTTGTACCTCCCTGCTCCTCCTGAATATCTTTCCTGATTTCCTTAATTAAGGTGCAGCAGCTAAAACTGCAAACTTTATTCTAAGTAAGAATAGACGATATGCTAATCCAACCACAAGAATTTTAAGAATAAAGTTAAAATAGAATGTGGGGAAATAGAAATTACAGCACCATTGAAAATGGAAACAATTTCAGTTTAGATAGTTAGGAATTATTAGCAATTAGCACAACATGGACTGTAAACAAATTCATAGCAAGACTTGAAATGCAAGTTTCTGTAACTTTTAATCTATTTTTGATGTCTTTATACTGATTGTATTTATTGGGTGTTTTTTGCATAGCAAAATAGTACCCATGATTGGATATAAAATATATATGAATTTAGCTTCCAAATAAAATTCCAAATGTGACAGTAACACCAAAGCCTGAATGACATGGGGTAAGGATGAAGATGGGGAAGAAGGTAACTAAGTCTTTTGTTTAGAATGGGTGACTTTAATTACTGATGTTAATGTTAAAACATAGGCTTAAATATGTATGGGCCACCATTAGCAATGTAAGATAAAAGTCAAACCTTTTAAAACACAAGATAAAGGAGAAAAGGAACAATAAAAACTCTACCATCTAAAAAAATCAAGGAAGTAAAAAGTATGCAACAAGAAAATATTAAGTAGGAAACATAAATTCCAGTGACAAACATACCACATTCTTCCTCATCATCTATCTGGAATTCATCATGGACTCCTCTCTCACTCACCGTGTCTGTGTGCTTGACTTGAGGCTGGGAGCTTCAAAAGGGAAAGTTAAGGGCCCTCCCAGATCAAAAGGAAAGTTAAGGACTCTCCCTGAACGAAGAGCAATGTCACCTAACTAGTATGTACACCTGCACAACTTTACAATTTCCTAATAGCAATCCTCTACCCTTAAAGCAGCCAATCAGAATATATGTAACCATATAAGGGAGACAAAGGACCTGAGATTGTATATAAGGCAATTCGGGGCTCAGATTTGTTTTGGATATGAATCCACTGGGCCTCTACCTGCTAAAGCTTCCGTGTTGCATCTCTCTGAGTAACCTGCAACAGGCTCACTTGATCGTTTCCATTCCCACTACCACTCCTGCAGTTCTCTTGTGCCTGTCCTAATGCAGAGGATCTAGCTCAGCCTAGCCTGTCTCAGCCTTCCCCACAGTAAGTAGAGTCATTTTCACAAGGCATAGCATGACACTGTTGTTCAAAAGCCTTCAGAGACTTCCTATTTCTTACCATCTATCCTTAGCTGGCTTTTGAAATTTATAGTACTAGCCCAGCTAATTTTGTCTCCTCAGGGCCGTTGCTGTGATGTAGCAGATAAAGCCATTGCCTGCAATGTTGGCATCCCATATGGGCATGGGTTCAAGTCCTGCTGCTCCACTTCCAATTCAGCTCTTTGCAATGGCCTGGGAAAGCGGTGGAAGATGGCCCAAGTGCTTGGGCCCCTGAACCCATGTGGGAGATCCAGAAGAAGCTCCTGGCTTCAGATCAGCCCAGCACCAACCATTTGGGTAGTGAACTAGCAGATGGAAGACCTCTCTCTTTCTCAGTCTATGCCTCTGTAACTCTGCCTTTCAAATAAATCAATCAATCTTTTTTTTTTTTTTTTGACAGGCAGAGAGAGAGAGAGAGAGAGAGAGAGAAAGGTCTTCCTTTCCTCTTGGTTTACCCCCCAAAATGGCCGCTATGGCTGGTGCACTGCGCCGATCCGAAACCAGAAGCCAGGTGCTTTCTCCTGGTCTCCCATGCGGGTTCAGAGCCCAAGCACTTGGGCCATCCTCCACTACCTTCCCGGGCCACAGCAGAGAGCTGGACTGGAAGAGGGGCAACCGGGACAGAATCCAGCACCCCAACCGGGACTTGAACCCGGGGTGCCAGTGCTGCAGACGGAGGATTAGCTTAGTGAGCCACAGTGCCAGCCTAAATCAATCTTTTTTTAAAAAAAATTATGTTCCTCAGTTATTCTAAGACACACTTTTTTTTTTTTTTGGACAGGCAGAGTGGATAGTGAGAGAGAGAGACAGAGAGAAAGCAGAGAGAAAGATCTTCCTTTTGCCGTTGGTTCACCCTCCAATGGCCGCCACAGCTGGCGTGCTGTGGCCGGCGCACCGCGCTGATCCGAAGGCAGGAGCCACGTGCTTCTCCTGGTCTCCCATGGCGTGCAGGGCCCAGGCACTTGGGCCACCCTCCACTGCCTTCCCTGGCCACAGCAGAGAGCTGGCCTGGAAGAGGGGCAACCGGGACACAATCCGGCGCCCCGACCGGGACTAGAACCCGGTGTGACGGCGCCACTAGGTGGAGGATTAGCCTATTGAGCCGCGGCGCCAGCCCTAAGACACACTTTTTAAAAGGCATTTGAAATGTTTCTGAAATCAGAGTGCATTTTACAATTGATAGCAATCACAGCATCTTGGATTTGATGGTTCTTTTCCTAGTTTACCTTGACTATAGGATAATTCTATTCTGGAAAATGGGGCTTCTCACTTTGCAGTTCTGTGACTAATTCATTCACAACTCCAGACTTTTGTTTTAACATTATCCTATCTGGGTTTTCCTCTCTGCCTCCATTCCTATTTATCTGCCTGTAGAAATCAGCCCAGATTGAAGGCTCAGCTAAAAGGCCACCACCACAAGCAGTGCCTTATTCACCACCTCACTGGAACAACATCCCTTTGAATCCTCCTGGTTCTTTTTTTTGCAACTCTAGCAGCTTTTATCACATAGTTCCTTTTGTTTTAAATATTTGTGTACATATTTGATCTATGCTTCTGGAGTCCTGTAAATCGCTTCAAAAGTCAGTTCAAATCATGATATTCTGTGAAAGAACAGAGGTTTGTTTCTCCAATGCAAATTCAGTGATACGGAATAGACAGGCAGCTAGCTAAGTCTGCTGAGCAGGAAGTCACAAATCCCCACGTAACTCTATACTCCTACTTGTCAATCAACATACCCCCTTTCCTGGAATGCATTCTGCTTCATCTGGTACCTAAAGGACACCATCAAAATATGGATATTGAACTCCACATGGCCTGGAGGTAACCTTATTAAAAAGAATAACCATTGGGAGGGGCTGTCTCTTCTAATGCAGATCAAGGCTAGAGGGGCTGCCAGGTGCTCCCTCTGTCTCCCTTCTCTCACCCTTTCTTCTTTCAGGGAAATCTTCTGGCCCACAGCCTACTTATGATGAGTATTTCTCTATGTGGGACAACCCATGCGGCGTGTGTTTGTGTGTGTGTGTGTGTGTGTATGTGTGTGAGTGTTCACTTTCTCACCTTTTAAATAAATTTTATTACTCTATGCACCTTATTCATGTCAGCATTTTATGTTTGTCTTTGCACATGACATGATCCTGTAGTAAAAAAAATTAATACCCCTCTTGCCCACATCATCAGGACATTGAAAAAAGTTTGTTGAAAGTTTATGAAGTACAGTACTACCATTTCACAACTTCAGGAAGAGCCTGGCTTTGAACTAACTAGAGGTAGCACATCATCAGTGAGACAGGAGATAAGTAAAGCCACGGGATGGATGAGAGATGCTGGAGGTGCCCAGCTGGGAGAAAGAGTTACTGAGACTGGCTGCTCCATTCTGAGGGCTCACTGATTGGCCCTGTTTAGGGAGTAGCCATTGGAAAGATCAAGTCTGGGAAGCAGTTTTGCTTAAAGATCTCCAGCCCTCTTCACTATCCTCACATGAATCACTGTGATGTCTCAAGAGGGTGGGGCCCAACTAAGTAATAGGTTCCCTGAGGAAATCCAGGCTGAGCTAGATGTCCAAGAATTCTGGGTCACCTCCACAGACACATTACAAGGAGACATGGAGTGTAACCCAGCCCTGCTGGAGGGTGTGGCCCAGGAAAAGAGTATGACATGTCCGTTTCATCATCTGCAGCAGATTTTTCTCCCTCACTCTCCCAAGTCATATGCACAAATCTTTACTGGAATACCTTCACAGAGCCTTCTTTCCTTTTTTTCCCTCAGTAAACTTCTATGGCCACAAGAAGATAAAAGCCACTCAAGTGCCCTTTAGTTGTTGCTCTGGTATTCTGTGACTAAAATTAACATGACTTGTGAGATTTCTTGCTGAGTTCTGTATCCTAGGGCTCATGTCATTTTCTATGAGGGTCTGCCAGTTACCCAACTTAACTTCATATGTAACCCCTCCAGCTTCAATCTCTACCAACTGAGGAGTTGAGTTTGAGAAGTTTAAGGTTTCTGGCAAGATTAAAAAAAAGATTTATTTATTTATTTACTTGAAAGAGCTACAAGGCAGAGAGAGAGGGAGGGGGGAGGGAGAAGGAGAGAGAGAGAGAAAGAGAGAGAGAGGTTTTCCATCCTCTGGTTCACTCCCCAAATGGCTGCAATGTCTGGAGCTGGGCAGATCCAAAGCCAGGAGCCTGGAACTTCTTCCAGGTCTTCCACGTGGGTACAGGGGCCCAAGGACTTGGGCCATCTTCTACTGTTTTCCCAGGGGATAGCAGAGAGCTAGATCAGAAGTGAAATAGCCAGGACTGACCCCGAAGCCTATAGGGGATGCTGCCACTGCTGGTGGTGGCTTTACCCACTACACCACAGCACTGGCCCTGAAATTCAGCATCCTAATATTTGTTTTGCATGCCACATAGCTCACCTACTGAGTTTGTGCAGTAATGAGTTTGAAGCAAAATAATTGGTGTGGTGTGATCTGAGCATGTCTCTTGAGGGTTCTTCCAAGATGTGATTTCTGTCAGTGGCTTCATACTAGAAAATTTTGAATAAAGATCGCAGTTATTAAGCTGATTCTGCCAAAGGAAACCATTCTGTTTCAGGAATTTTTTTTATTATTAAAAAGATCATAATGTTTATTATAGAAAATGTAGACAACATGGAAAATTATAAAGGATATAATAATCACTTAAAGATGACCTCTTGAGATAGTATTGTTAATATTATGCCATGTTTCCTTAAACTAATTTCTCTTTGTGTGTCATTATATGATTTTTAAGTGTTTGTTATAGAATTGTAATCACATGTTTCAAAAATTAATTATTTAGTTTATTTGAAAAACAGAGACAGAGAGTGGTGATTCACTGAATCATTCCCCAGATGGGCACAACATTCAGGACTGGACTGGGCCATCAGGAGATGGGAACTCAATCAAGGTCTCCCATGGTGGGGCAAGGACTCAAGCCATCACCTGCTGCTTCTCAAGGTGTGCATTAAGAGGAAGCTGGAGTCAGCAGCAGAGCCAGATGTTGTATCCAGACACTCTGACATAGGATGCAGGTGACCAATGGTAACCCAACTACACCAACAAACAGCCACCTCTAGTGACCACACTTTTCAAACTGTGGCAAGAGCAGCTATAATCTGTTCATGGAGCAAAAACCAGGAGAATCATTGCACCATAATTAGTCCTTAGGTTGTACATCTTTCCACTTGTTTATCCTGTGTGTTTACTACTTTATATCCTGTTGCCTACCTCTTTATTTTTCATTATCCCCAACCTGACCATCATAATGACTTTTATTCTCTACCTCTATTCCCTACTTCTTTTAAATTTTTTTAAGATTCCACTTATAAGTGAGGTCATACAGTATTTTTATTTCTCAACATGGCTTACTTCACTTAGTATTTTGTTCTCTAGGTTCATCCATGTTGTGGCAAAAGGTAGGAGCTTTTCTAAGACATATATATATATATATATATATATATATATATATATGTATCCATTCTCCCATTGGTGGATAGCTCAGTTGATTCCACATACTGGCTATTGTGAAGAATGCTATACGGGCGGGGCGGTGCTGTGGCTCACTTGGTTAAT